AGTCTCCAACACATAGAGCTCCTTTCATAGTACCCCTCTGTAGTGCTTTGTCCGGTGGTTCTGGATATGATATCATCTATTAATAATGTATTGGCAATGGATTACATAAAAAGGGAGCAGAAATAACATCCAATATTCATGCCCCCTGAGCTTGACTGTGTCCAATCCGTTTGGCCCATAAAACCTTAGCCCCATTTCCATATCCGCTGTGGGTCACGACAGGTCTGCCGCACAAAGGCTCACAGAGCAGCTCAACTCAGGAAAAGGGCAGTAAAAATCGGGTGGATTTCTGAACCTTTATGAAACAGCCCCGCTTTGGAAAAAAAAAAAAAAGTGAAAAAGCCCTTTTCCGAATTCACCGCCTGTGAAAAACCTGGTACTGTATTTCCCTCTTTAATTGTGCCACTTGAGAAATTGACGTGCCTCTGAAACATGGCATGAATCTCACAGTTATTGCAGTCCCCTTGGCAGGGAATGTTGATACAACATCTGCATGCTATAGAAAGTAATGGAAGTAGCAGAGGTGGCAGCTGCAACTCTACAGGAAGTGTGCCATTTTCAGGCAGCGCTGCTGTGAGAACCACTAACTGCCAGCCTGGTCTTGCAGGCAGCTCTGATTGCCAGGACACTATGACAAACACGCAGAGGCTGGGAGTGTTGCATCCTGGGGGATGACAGCTTCTGTTTGATTGTCAATAAGGCTCATTAGCAGAAAAAATGGAGAATGCGAAAAAGAGATTAAATGGTTGAGACAGGGTCCCCCTCATGTTGCATTACAGAGCATTTATTGGAGCTTTTATTTCATCAATTCCACAAAAAAAAAAAAACGTTTATTGCTTCCACCCAAAAAGTAAAGCAGAATTGAATTAGGGAAAAAAAATGATGATTCCAAACGTTCTAGATGTAGTAATGAAGCGCACGCTATTCCATCAAAACAGACCCAACAAGTGCTAATCGAGCCCCGCAGCCAGTCATCCACACCGACCGACCACGAGCCCCTCGCCTCCGGCTCGGAGCGTCTCTCATCTTAAGAACAGTGGCGGATGTTCCCCTCCATCTTAGGGAGGAACGGCCAACAAAGCAGCGTGTAAGGGCCTTTCCCTGAAGAGTCCTTGTCACGCCGCGCCAAACCTCTGTGATTATCGTTGTTTTTGCAGAGAGTGTCCATGCCTGCCAATACCGCTGTTCCATAAATGAATTTGGCCCCTCGTCAACGAATTACCTAACACGCAGAACTGTGTATGTGTCACATCCAATTCCAACTCACCGGCTTTGGTGGTGTGTGTCAGCTGGAGGACTTAATCATCAATCGTCAATCATAATAAGCGAAGCGCATTGATAGGGCTCCTTCTTTTTTTTTTTTTTCTTTCTTCTTCCATCCAACACAGTTAAATAAAGTGTAAAGAGAGAAGTTAAAGATGACCTTGTTAAATTGGGACCACAATTTCTATTCCTAATTTAGTGTATGGATTAATTAGTCTTGTGTGTTTGTATCGGTTTCCATGTGCCGGAGCTTAGGATTTATATCCACTTCATCAAATCACCCTGGAATGATATCTCCCCGTCTGATCCTGATGTTTTTGCTCAGAACGGGCTTCGCATATTTTCTTTTTGCTGCACACTTTTAATTAATGCCTAATTGGACGATGTATAGAGGGGACTTTTCCACTAATCAATAACCCCACATCTCACATCATACAAAATGAATCACGGTGACCTGTTATCGGGCCTCGATGCAGCCGCGCGCGCACACGCACAGAACATGCAACCTGGCAAGGAACGCATTTTCGCGCCAGGCTGAGGAATCTGGCTCATATTTTCCCTCTCCCCGATCCACTCCTCTCCCTCTCTCCCTCTCTCTCTCTCTCTCTCTCCCTCTCTCCCCCGTCATATAGATCGGATCTGCAGGGGCCAGAGGCGCTGACAGAGCCCAGATGCTCCCAGTCTGTCTGGGGGGGGGGGGACTGGGGAGACTGGTGCCATGGGGTCCTGGAGCCTCTTGAAGTGCCGCCCCTTCCGTCAACATGACCAAGGCTAGACCTGCACTTTCTCCAGGCCCGAGACACTCTGCTTACCGCACTGACAAACGGCGCTGCGCAGTCACAGATTGATACGCGCAGGGATACGCTCTCACGTGATGTATGGTCGTTTCGTCAGCCGGTCCCAATTAGAGACCCCCGGGCCAACAGTCGAGTTCACGAGGTCACACACCGGCGCGAGGGCTACTGACACACACACACACACACACACACACACACACACTCGCATGCAGATATCTCCACTTTCTCATTTAATCTCGCTCAGTCTCATCATCACTGCCCTTAACTCGCTCATGTGGAGGGGGATTGAGGGAGGAGGGGGGGGGGGTCTCTTTGTTCTAAAAATAAATAAATAATAACTAAACAAAAGAAAAAGGCACCGTACCAATCCTCCATCCACCCGCTTTCTCTCTCTCCCTCCCTCAAAACACAAAGATCATTACAAGAGCATCAAAAGTACGCCCCGTTTTGAAATGATATTTCTCTTTGTAGTGGCGGCGTGGCGTGGAGTGTGTTGGTATTGGATGTTGCTGTGGCAGCTGTCGTGGCTGGCTGCGTGGTGCCTCGGTGTCAGGGCCTCTGAGGCCAGGCTGTCCCGGCAGACAGACAGAGGAGGGGGAGGAAACCCGATAGCGCAGCCAAGCCCCAGTCTAATGTCTGCCTATCCAGCTATCTATTCCTGTGTCTATCTGTGTGACTGACTGGCTGGACACCGGCTATCTGCATGCCGGACACTCCCTCCGGCTCCCCAGCAGCAGCGCAGTGCATGAGGCCGAGTTAAGACGTTTGCAAAAAGTTATCCTTGTGTTTTTTTTTTTTATGCATACAAACTACAAACTTCTTTTTTTGGGGGGGGCGGGGTTTATGAATCACCCATGTAGCTCCAGGATCCACTTCTGCAGGGTCCCCGGTAAGCAGTAAGCCACTCGTGCCAAGGGGCGCAGGTTGTGATAACATCAGAATTATAAGCCGACATGTATGAGGAGCAAGGCTGTTTGTATTTGATGTGGGGGCAGAAAATTGCTCTATAATGAGGGATGGGTGCCGGGACATGAGATGGGAAAAGGGGAGTTGGAGACAGGATTAAAGTTATGAGAAGGAAACTAATATTAGGAAATGCAAAGGTTCGACTGAGCATGAGCTAAAATACACCTTTTTTTCCCCCGTCGGCCTCGATTAATTCCGCTCGGCCAGGTCACAACCCCGTACGAACGCTGAGGACGCCACCAACCATATGCATGTGCTTTCTAGGGCTCAAATGAGTATGTGTGTGTGTGTGTGTGTGTGTCATATGTGAAGCAGTGAATGTGTGTCTGTGTGTGTGAGGGGGTTAATAAATGTTGAATCAAACGCCGCACGAGACACTCACACTCCTTAAGGGTTGCCCATTAGCGGTGTGTGGGTGCATGGGGAGTTTATCAGTGTCTGGGTGATTTATGAAGTCAGACTCAATATCATCCACTTCACCCACACACATATGGACATACACATGTGCACACACCAACACGCATGGCCACATGCTCAAACACGCACACGCACGCACGCACGCACATGCACGGGTGTAGTCTGTCTCGCTCTGAAATGGGAGGCAGATATTAGGCCAAAATTAAAGGTTTCACAGAGATTAACAGTGCGGATGATGAGATCGTCTCGGCCTCTTTTAATCTAATTCCTTTTTTTTTTTTATACATCTCTGAGCCAGCATGATACGGAAGTGGTACACATGGAGAAAATAACCCATCAAAATAATACAGACGTAGTAATAATATTAACAATAATAACGCCGCTAACAATTGTTGATAAATATTGAATTGCCTTGAAATGTAAAAATTGCAAAAATGAAAAGGTTTGAATTATCTCGAGGAGATTCCTCGGGTAGCTGAGCAATTACAAGGCCAATTACTGGCAGCGTGTTTGAAGCTCTGATGCTGGGCTTGTTTTTTAACATCAGCCTCAGACCTCTACAGACAGTTTCTCCGGCTGTGAAATTCCCAGCATTCCACAGAATTTACTTATCCACAAGAAGAAGCAAAAAAAAAAAAAAAAAAGAGGGTGCTTACAGTGCACTTCAGAGTGCGCCTGGCTTAAATGGGACCCCTTGTGGCTGTGTCACAGCTCCCTTCGTTAGAGGGCCGACTGTAGCCTGTAGTCACCACAGGCATCATTAGCCCTCTGTGAAACCACAGACTGAGTCTCATTCCTCATCTGCCCGTCCGCTGCCTCAACGTCTCCGATGCCGCGATGGGGCTCCAACGGCAGAGCGAGCGAGTCCAGCAGCGTGGCGAGGCGGCCACGAGGAGCCCCCCCCCGGTCGGACGGGGGAAATGCAAAAAATGCAGCAAAGTTCAAACGTATTCAGCGAGCAGGCCGCTTGAATGGGGGGGAGGTGGGGGGGCGTAAAAGGTGAGAGCAGAGGTTATTTCAGGGGGTGGATATATTAGGCTACCTGGGCTGAACAGAAAGGGAATAACTACGGGGCAAGTGAGGGTCACTGCGGCGCTGCATCAGACTGTTGAAGAAACTTAGGGGAAAAAATCTTAAAACTGTCAATGTAGCAACGCACCATCGGGAGAAGAAAAGAAAAGTAAAGTAAAGGACGTAATAAATCTTTTAACATACACCACCATTGCTGTCCACTCCATATGGTGGTTTCAAGAGAGAGTAATTCATCCCGGAGGGATTGAACTGGGTTGTGATGAAAATAAAACAACATATAAACATTTAAGTTAGGGATTAAATGTGCAGGATGAATTCAAGGTTGAAATGTTGATTTCTGTTTCCCGTTCTGTACTGCCCTCTAATGGAAAACACTACTCGGAAACAAAAAAAAAAGGAGCTCTGACATCCGGAGCTGCAGTAAGGAGAAGACGTAGAGCATAATTAATTATGAGCTGAACTGAGCGAACACTACATGAAATCCATTTTTAAATTAAATGCAATTAAAGTGATGAAAAGGCACAATTTGTCATTTTGAGATGTATTTATTAAAACCTGTCCGACAAAGGTACGGTATATAATGCATAAGACAACTCGAGGTGGATTATTAGGCTACAGCAGACAATGTGATCTAAATGAAGACAAAACAAAAGCTTCACTACAAAGCTTTGTAGCAGTAAAATTCAGAGCCTTTAACTGGATGTTGAACAAAGCATTCACTTGGCAGGAAATTAAAAAACCAACGAGAGGTACAAAGACTAATTCTGCTTAGGAAAAAAAACAACAACAACAACAACAACAATGCAAGAGACATATTTTTAAGGGAATAATAATTCTTTAGAAAAACCATTCCAGCACTATCTGGCAAACGCAACGGAGACCCACGGGAGCATATGTTTGTAATTCCTACTGTTCTCTGTTTAAGTTATTTTTGTACATTCTAATTCTGCAACAACTTCGTATCACATTAACTATGCAACATCTCTATTCTTAGATTTAAACAAAAGAAGAATAAACTGAATATCTACAAGAAGCTCCAGTTGTTCCACCGGGTGCGCCGAGCGCGGCAAACTTCATGGCCCCGTTTTGCGTTGTTAAAAACAAAATTCCGGGCCTTGTGTGTGTGTGTGTGTGTGTGTGTGGGGGGGGGGGGGGTGAAGGACAGTTGGCCTCTGTCATGCTTTAGCCTTCGCCTCTCTGCCTCTCATGGGTGAGCAGCCATTGTTTGAGATGGTTGCCCCTGCCGCTCATGTACGGCCCACTCTGTCCACTGCTAGAGATGACTCGGTGGCAGGGGATGAGGAGAGGAACCTGGCACACAAAGACGGGACAGAAAATTCAACTCTGAGGAAAACAAACACATCGGAGTTCTGCAGATATTACTCATGGACAATATTACATGTAAATAGGAACAATTTACAAATGATATGATTTGTCTTTTATGAATTAAGAGAGGAGGTTGCAGAAAGCAAATTATCGGTGCACACGTTTTAAACTAAAAAAAATAATGTTTGAAAATAAAACAGTATTGCAGCTTTACTGCTCGAAATTCTCAGGCTGACATTTATTGTCACCGCAACACAAGGGTTGGAGATGTTGATAGTAGTTATGTATTATGTATGAAACACTCTGATTTACCACATAAACGGTGGGACTTAAAAGTAACCAACGTGCAGAAAATATGAATCTGCACTATTCTTTTGCTTTTTATGTCCATGCGCTGCATGAAAATAAAGTGTCACGCTAGAAGTGTCGGGTTTGATCCTGCACAAATTCACATTCAGGGTGATGGCTCAGTCTTTGGGTATAAATGTTTTTTACTCTTTAATAGTGTAAAGCAAAGAAGCAATCAAAAATTAATGGGCAAAAACACCAGCAGGATGAATATTCAATCGAGAGGGTGTCAACATTAAGATCTGATAACCCTGTGATCATTAAAAAGAGGAAGTCGGTGGAGCGTTTACTCTTGTTGCAGAAGACTGCCAGGGGGGGTCCCGAGTTCTTTGTAAACTAAATGGCTGGAGAAAGATTAAACAAGCAGGCCTAAAACACTTCGATCATTGTGCATTCAGAACAGGACGAGTGGCAATGGTTGGAATGAGTCACAGCATTTATCCCTTTTAAAATACTCTCAACTCCGTTGTGTTCACTAAAAACAAAAACATCCCAAGCGGCTCGCGCGCCGCGACCGTAACTCTAACGTCTGAAGTTATTCCGACCGGATGGCTGCGACTGCAGCCGTTTATGTGAAAGTTGGACGCGCGGTGTGTTTCCGTTCGGATCAGTCATTAAACCCGCTCCCATATCAACAGCAATAAAACTTTCCGAGCCCCAGATTAACCTTGCAGACAGAGAAATACTGCTCGAGTATTCGGATCAATACTGTTCCCCGGGTTTGGAGGGAGAGCAGGGTACCCTCAAGGCCTGCGGATCTGCCTCTTCACTTGGGGGAGGGGGGGAGGGGCACTACGCCAGGCTTATCGATACTCAAATCCTGGTGAAGAAGAAGTGCCACAGAGAGGCGAGCATCGATTGAGCACGCTGAGCTTTTCGCAGTTGAAGCCAGAGTGGAGCAGCGCTGCTGACATGTAATTGACACTGACAATCTGACTCTGGATCTGTATCAGGAGCTGAGGGCTCAGGCTCCCTTACAAAAGGACGGAAATGTCCATACAACACGAGACGGAGATTTCAGACAGGCATCCAAAAGGCCAATGGGTAATATCACGTGAAGCCTATAAAGAAACTAGTGCTTAATATTGAAGACCCTTTCCCCCGTTTCTCAGAGGTATATTTGCATTTATTCGGTCTTCCAAATTAATTTTAATGACCACGAATTACATTTCTTCCTGTACTTTAATAACAAAAACAGAGTCAGAGGAAGCGCGCGGTACCGAGGCGAGGATGTACACAAGCTATATCGCCGCCCGTGTGAGGGAGAGCGCCTCGCTGGCTGCATTTCTGCACACAGAGAAGTGTTCTCTGCCCCGCTGGAGCTCACCGGTGGTGCCCACAGCACTACACGGGCCGAGCTAAACGGGCTTTGATCAAAGGGTTTGATCAAAAGGAGACGCACCACTTGCCCTCTAGCCCTCCGTCTCGTACGCAGCGGATTCGTTGGCAAAATGATGCGGGCCGGGTTTCCCGCAAGAATCGGAGATTTGCAGCGAACATCTTCAGTGAAGCTTTGAGGGAACAAAAGGTGTGGACTCAAAATCGTGCTGTCAGGTAGACTCGTGCTTCCCCGCCGGGAGGCGTCTGCTCGGCTGTTGCTAATATTTAAACACAGCCTACAGTTTAGATTACGTACCCTGCTTCACAAAGTTTAGAAACAAAAAAGAAATCTTAATTCATTTGAAAACTTAAGTGGAGCACACAATTACTTTGCTGAAACAAAACGGAGGGACAGAAAATCGGTGTCATCCCATAATATATTACACATTATTTAAGCCTATCGAACGTACCACACACAATAGATCACATATAACTATTAATTCATTTGTCGTACCTGCATTTGGTATGACATGACATTCATGTAAAGCCTTAAAATATATCGCAAATAATGTGTTATTTATGTTACACATAAACAAAAATGCTATTTGCGAATGTTTAATTGGAGCGGAACTGATGATTAGTTTCATTATCGCTCGATCTGATCATTTTCTAGATTAATTATTATGTCTTTAAAACACAATATTTGACAAAAAGTAAAAAGCATTTCAGTAGCCTTATATAAGCCGAAAATGAAAAGTGACTGAAAAGTAGGTACTATCAAAACAGCCGCATAATGACTAATAGTTAGGATGTCGTGTTGTCTCCAGTTATACTTGTTAAATTCCTGATTTACTGTCCTTATAAAAGCATTAATTACCCTTTGACCAGAGGCAGCTTACGTGCAGGTCCATACATTTCATACATACGAGCCTGTCAATCAATGATTGAGCCACACTCACCGGGTTCCTCCTCATGGCCCCTCCCACTGCCCGCGCCGCTCTGGGGTTTCCCGCCATCTCAGCGAGGCGCTTGTACGACACCGTCTCTCCAAACTTCACATCCCTCAGAAGTACCTGCAACACGCGGCTGGCGAACGCGTCTTCGCCACAAAGCAGAGGACAGGGGGAAGGGGGGGGGGGAGACAGACGGAGAGAACAGAGGAAGAGGGAGTCCCTCATTTAATCAGACAGCTGCCCGAGAGGCGGACGACAACAAGGAAAACACTTTAGCGCGCGGCGCTGATTTCACTCCTTTGAAATAAGACTGCGGTTCGGAATTAAAATCAAAAGTTTGCAGTTTGTCTTGGTGTCGGACGGCGCGTTTGAGGGTCTCTGTAGGACTTTGCGATACTCATTAACAGCTAAATACGTACGAGTCCCTCCGTTTGACCTTAGAACTAGCATTAACATGCCACAGAAGATGATGTGAGAAAATTATTTCCATGGCAGAAAAATCTAGGTTATGCTTTGAAAGGTCACAGCTAAAATTAAAAAAGTTCGCTCCTTCATTTAAAAGGATTAAGAGAGGCCAAAAAGACTGCAAATCTGCTCCAGATTTTTAATAATAATAATTTGAATGTTGCACACCATTTGTGGCAGTGGGATGACTTTGAGGTTAATCAGACCAATTTGTCCTTTTAATTGCTTTCTATTCAGAGTAGATTCATTATATCATCTTCACTTAAATGGCGGAATTCTTCAAATCATCCGCAAGCTTAACCGACCACATTAACGGCTTTGATTTCATTAGCACTTTAGCGGTAGCATTATCTATTTCTTTTTTCCGGATTACCGGCCAGCGGCTGTGAGGAATGCTTGTCTGGCTCCGGCTGCTGGAGGGAAAAAGAGGGAAGCGTTTGAAGCGTCTCGGAAACCTTTAGACATTGACGCAGTGGGCTCGTGTCGCCAGTTGAACAACACTTTTTTTTTCTTCTCCTTCTCGCACAGAGAACAAGATGGGGAACAATGGTCTCGTTATCAAGAGGGGGTGAAACTCCTCTAGTACATACATGTACTCAGTCATGAAAATTCAATTAGTGATCTCCCATTCTCTCTCATTTATATGGTCTAAGAGAGCACATGACAAGTGATCTATGAGAAATCCCTCCAAATTGGCATTGTGTGAAAACATGTCACACCCCTGTCTCTCTTCTACAGAGTGAACATCCTTTGCTCCCCAGGCTCCCTCGCTACCTTATAGTCACTCTCCGCTACACAAAGCCACGCGAACAAGGCAATTTGCCTAAACTGGGGGGAATAAGTGTAAAACCTAAAGGGGATATTTTTGATTGATGCGCACCCATGTGAGTTCTTTGTCTTGAACAAGGCCCGTAGGTACTGTTTAATAATTTTTCAGGTAATAATCACGCTGTCAACGAGATGACGGGCTCTTACGCAGACAGACTTAATGTTATGAGGAGATAAGATACACCCCTGAAATTTCTTTTATGCATTATTCCCCCCTCATAAAGCTCGGATTTGGCCTCATGATGTGCACGGCGGTGCATGTTGATATCGCTTCGTCACCGGCGGGTAGATGACAACTCGCCCGCACTACGGCTACCACAAAACTCCAGTTGACGCGAGCGTTGTTGACAAACTACCGCGACCGTTGTCAAGCGGCGAACTCGTGGGGGGGCCGTTTACACTTTTAGTAATCAGCAGCATTTGTTTCCCCCGTAGGTGAGGTCTCCCATCTCCAACAGTTCCGGACACACACAAAAAAAAAAAAAAAAAAAGTGTCTGCGCTTTTCATCCGCCGCCAGAGAGGTTAAAGAACTTTGGCCTCATCAGCGCTGGTGACAGAGACTTCACGCAGGTCACTCGAGGTGACCAGCAATGATTCGGAGAGCAGTCCCCGAGCCCCATACTTCATAAAGAGCCTAATACGGTGTGTCTGGGGTCAGGACCCTCTTTAGATCGGGGGTGTAGTGATGTCAATTGTTTAAATAAAAGTTGAGAGGAAGCACTTACATGTTTACGGACATCCCATAATTGTGTCACAGGTCATTACCTACCACGGGCCCCGGCCGATAGGGCCTCTGCAGAGGCAGATTGAACCGCAGAAAGAATCGAACAGATCTAGTGATTATGACTGTATTGGCATATATGATTGATTGGCTCATAGTTTTGTATGTGGGGGCAATTTGAGAGGAGGAATAAACAACCGTCGTAAAACCGAATTCCATCAGCCCGGCTAATGATAGATTTGGGTGAGTCTTTGAGCTGACAGTCGCCCCTCATGTGACGGTGACAATGAGGAGACAATAGTGGAAGTGCAGCTACCTCATTATCCTTTGTGTCTAATGGGAGGGAAGACTTTGACTCCCAGTCAAAGTGTCTCTCGAGTCTTGAGGGATCCATACTTTTGAAGGCTGACGGGGTGCTGATGATTCTCTGATTATTCGATATTCTGAAAACGTTCATTTCCCTAATTCCTCTCCACATCACAGGGGCGAGTCCTGGTGAGCGTCTCATCTCGCCCTGTGCTGTGCACAGGGGGAGGTTCAGCCTCCTGCAGGAACACAGTCATTTGGGCTTTGAAGAGCGCCCTTCCCCCCCTTTGCCTGGCCCCCTCCCTGCATATTCCCTGTGCCGCTTACCGAGACTAAGATCCTCTCGTCTGTTACATATGGATGTATAATTAATGAGATAAGAATATGCATCGTTTTAAGAAGCCATGATGGTGTCTGTGTTTTTCCGAGGGAAGGAGGCGGCGGGGGGGGGGGGGCACACACACACAAACCCAGGCCCGGCGAGCACGCCGCCGTTCCTCCGCCTCTAACGACCCAACTCGCGGGTGACAATCAGTCAAACTGCACCTCGCATCTCTCTTTCATGTCACCTCTGTTGTCTCAGGTATATCGTGACAGCTAATATGAAAAGTGGCTTGTTTTGTCAGAAATGTGTAAATAAACATGGCAACGCTTCAAGTGAAGGTCACAACTCAATATTACATGACAAGTGCTGTGAGAGCGCCGCCGCGTTCCGCTTCTCCCACAAGATAACCGAGCAAACAAAAGTTGGTTGTCACAAATTGTAATGACCTGATTAAACTTGATTTTTTTTTTTCTTCTCCCCGTGCAGTCAGCGGTTGCTCGACTAGATCGAGCCGCAATGTGTGCAGCAGTGAGGCCAAAACGAATGCTCAACATTTGTGAATTAACAAGCAAAAAGGAAAAAAAAAGAAAAAAGAAAACATTCTATTTTCCTCCCTCCGAAGACAAATACTCTTGATGCTCACATTTAACATTTTTATACTGGCGTGGCCTATGGTTCTGACTACTGAGAGCAATCCAAGCCTAAACCCTGTATTTACTGAGCCCCAAAACAACAGGCGAGGGAGTGAGGTGCAACACAGCACAATCACCTATTCAGATCAGGTACTAATGAAGAATTCCATCTATCCTGAAATTTAATTAAAACCCCAAAGACTTGGGATGAGATGCGATTTGAAAGAGCCTGGGGCTGGTACACAAGCACTTGGTGGCGAAGGGAATCACACTGAAAGTTGATATCGTAATTGGTCCTGATGTATTTCTGCATTGCCTTCGCGGGAGCGTGGGACTCATAGCTGTATACAGGGTCTCGATGGAGTACCTGCTCATTGAAAATGCCATCACTCAAGCACTGCAGATCTGCATGAAATTAGAGAGCAACTTAGGCCTGATTGCCAGGGAAGAGAGGCACAATTGTTAAATGCATATATTAGAGAGCATTTATTTTCCCTGTGTAGGTGTGCTTCTGGGTCTAAATGAGCACTTCTGAAAATCTTTAGGTTAAAATGCAACGAGCGTCTACGTGTGACAAAGAAATATCCTGCGATTGTTTGAAAAAGGGGCGAGTGCGACGGGTTCAAGGTTTCAAAAGTGAGTTGTCAGGCTGCGAGGATTGTTTGTTTCCTCTAAACAAAAGCTCAAGGGATAATTAATTCCTCATTCCTTTTCCTCGACACCCTCAATCATTCTCTCGGCAGTCACAACTAGCCGTTGAAAGGACACTAATTGTCAAATTTTTCGGGGTGCTTTCATTTCACTCGTCCTCGGTGGCTGGTCAAGCCAACAATAAGCTCATTCAAACTTTAGCACCATTCACATGTTGTCAGTGGAAAAAACGCTTCCTGTCTGAAAATGTCAAGAGCGGAATTCGATCAGTTTCAAAGAATGTGCCAAGAATCATAGAAAGGCTTGCCAAGACTAACACGCGTGGTAAGAGCTGCCACAGATTACTGAACCAAGTTACAGCTCTGTGTTCTGTCCTCTCCCCTCTCGCTCACCCACTCACTCGCTCTCTCTTTCTATCTCCCCCCCCTCTCTCTCTCTCTCAGCCATAAAATACTTCATTATAACACAGTGAGCCAGTGAGTGTAAGTGATGTAACTGACAATTAAGAGTGAAAGGCTGATCCCAGTCACGGCTCTGCAAATATTTATCCAAGACAGACCTCCTTGCAGGGCCGGGTGGTGAAAGCCGGGGAGCGGGAGGCTCCCAGTGGTCCGCGGCTCAATGAAGTACGCCTGCAGCCATTCAACGCAGCGCTGCAACTCGGGGCTCACTTCTGCCGGGCTGTCGTTGACCACACAGCTCAGGGGGGCCTCGCTGCTCCTGCGGAGGGGAGAGGGGGAGAGAGGAGGGGGGGGGGGGCACGGGGCAGGATGGGGAGTTGAGCTGGGGGATCAGAGGAGCGATCATAATACCCCGATCCTTGGTTGAACGGTGCTAAAATGCGCGGCGAGAGGGTAATAACATGCCACGGGTGACACAGATGCGAGATGGCATCATTTGCAGAGTGAAAGCAAGTTGGTAATCAAGACGAGTTGGGATGCTTTAAAAAAATAAACTAAAGGGTTCACATGGCGGCGTTGCTCCTGTCAGCGCTGGGATGGATGTCAGAGGTGTGAAAAGAACAGAACTAGAAAATAAAAAGACAGTAATCCAGGCATTTGGCAAAGTGCACACGCACACGCACACACACACACACACACACACACACACACACACACATATAGTAGTATGAAAGGAAACATTGCCGGGTCATAAGGAATGGCGCTAACAGTTTATTTCAAATGGCTTTAAGGAAGCAGAAGAAAAAAAGTAGAAAGATATAAAGTTTTGAAAAGTCTTGTAGCTCTTACGGGGAAAAAAAAGTTAAGAGCACAGCGTTAACAACAGTTTCAACTCCGCTTGGGTCTAGTTTATAGTTCATGACAAGAATAAATGGATTTTGTTTTGGCTAGAGCGGTGCTGGCCAGCGAAGCACTGCACTTGGATTCGTATCTTAGCATGAGTAGATGCTTGGAGGAATTTGCCGACGGTTGAGTTGGCATCACTTAACAGCTGAATTTCTCTCCACCGCTGACCACCCCCCAGGTCAATGCAAGCAGGCTGACCCATATTTGACACTTAAAGACCCTACTGGGAAGGTCCTCCCTTAGCATGTGCATTACTGCAAAGTGGACCTCAAGCTGTGTTGTGGATCTAAAGCAGACCGCCAATTCCATTAACTGGTGTACAGGACTTATAAATAAATAATACCACCATTTAAGTGCCCCTTTTTTCAAAATTGGCTTATCCTGTATGGTATTAATAATGGACATTTACTTTGTTAAACACACAGACCGTCTCTCTCCCGCCTGCCGTAACAACACGGCCCTAAAGTGTTTTTACACTTCTGCAGGTCACAGTTTGAGCTGCGTTTTATATTGGACATGCGAAGCCGAGGTTTACTGGACTGTTATGACCGAGCGGGTCAGTTTTTCCAGGGAACCTGCTCCGCCTGCCTGTTCTTGGCTGTGTGATGGAAATCTCCCGGGTGCCGTTTTAACAGCGGGTGTAAATACAGTAAAAAAAAGGTGTAAATACTCTCATTTCTAAATAAACCACACGGCAGTTTAGAGTTGAGTGGTGAAAACTCGCAAAACCCACCGGCGGGCCGCCCAGTGCTGAGACCCGCTCAAACAATGGCCATGGCTCATGGCAATCTCTGTCGGCATGGGTGAGTGCCCAGCCAGCCCCTACTTGTCATTGTCTTTCTCCTTTCTACCTCCCCCCCCCCAACTCCTCCTCCTCCTCCCCCGCTCTCCCTCCTCAATTCCCCCCTCTCTATTTCTCCATCCTCCCACTCTTCTGGGTCCACACCACCTTCACCCACCATCCCCCCACCTCTCTTTCTCTTTGCAGGGATCTTCAGGGCCACTGTTCCCTCCTTTAACCCCCCCCCCCCCCCACCTCCCCCTTCCCCTACACCACCATGCCTCCTCCTCCTCCTCCACAGCCCCTCTTTCTCTCTGAGAGGATGTTCCAGCCGCTGCACACTGACAGCTCGGGGATATTGTGTGTGGAAATGTTCCTGTTGGACCCGCAGGCCCTTACAATCTACCGGACAAAGGCTGGAGCACCTTTGCTTAAGGCTTCGGCACCTTTGACCTCCAGCGCACACTTCAGACTTGTCACCGTGGCTAATTTTCTTCTCCCCTCAGCCCCCCGTTATGGATGCGCCGGCTTCAGAGGCGTGTTCCGAGTGATACAACATTGACAGTGGTAAAAGTTAATGCAATGCAGTACATGTTATGGCCGGTAAACAACACCCAAAATAAATAAATAAAGGCGGAACAACATCAGTCGAGCTGAAGTCTGTCACCTCTGGGTGCAATGGGGGATTGTTTTTAAAGAGCAGGTGGGCAGTGGAGATGTAGCCTCTGCGCCTGCAACATTTCCAGTTGCTTCAATGAATTACAGATCAAGTAGCATCATGTGATCCTTGTGTGTAGAGACTTGGCCTTTCAAATAAGAGATCAGACATGTGCGATAAATGTTGGGCTTGTTACAAAGAAACTCTCAAAAAGTAAGTTTCTTAGTATCATAAAAAACAAGAATTATAAAAAAAATGAATAACTGTAACCCAAATTTGGGTACGGCAAATTTGTTATTTATTATCTTTTGAATATTTCCAATCATATTTTTTTTCAAATGTCCTTCAGGCATTTACTATTTCATCACAGGTAAGGAAATAAGAAACTAATTCCAAACTGGCCAGGATCTGCTGCACTAAAAAGAATATTTCCCTTGATACAAGATTGTGATTTGAGAAAATGTCTAATATTGTGCTCCTGTCACAATCAATTTCCAATTACCATAAATCATTGCTGTGTAAAGTGGGAGTCCTTTGGAGTTCCACCTATTTTCCAACTCTAATATGAAGAATGAATTGAGCATTTATATAATGCTGGAGGTTATTTCATTCATCCTGGAAGAAACAATCAAAGGAGACAAAGCAACAAAAAAAAAAGAAAAGCCAACGTTCAATTTGTCAATTTCCTCTGGCATATTCTGTATCTGTAGTTGCACAAGACTTCACTAAGACTTTTTCTATCAGCTGCAGACGTAAGAATGAAACAGGTTAACCACAGGATCTAATTGAAAGGAATCTGGCGAAGGGTGTAATGGTATATTGCACAAAAAGGGGGAAAAACTCAGAACTCATGCCTCCATCCGGTGAAGCGTGATGGCGCTCATCCCGACTCGATCGGCTGTCACTTTTGACACAGCCTGCCAGAGTTCTCCTTCACCGATCATGGGTAACATGGCGGGTCAGAGGATGAAATAGAAAAGGCCGAGAGCGGTCCAATATTTTCCTCGGCCTTATAGCTGCAGATACTTAACTCGGAGACGTCAAAGACTCAAGAGAGCATGAAAAAAGCCTAAAATGACTGTCTAAAAAGGGGGGGGGGGGATCCAGCATGTCTCTATGAATGTCAAGATCTTGATGGTCTCTGAGCCAAAGGCCGTGATACAATTGTAAGCCACTTGCTCAATGCAGCGCGTTCAACCGTTTGAAGATCATTCAGATGCGTATCTAGCTACTGCAGCACTAAAGTCCAGAGCTTTCGGAGGGCGGTAAGCTGGAAGCGCCGCTCCCTTTTAGGGGCACGCAAGTTTTCTTGCGCCGCGCGCGGTTTCAAAATAAAAACAACTCGGCCGGATAAACCGCTCTCTGGATATCCAACCGCTGCCATTAGCGGGCGTCCACCGAAAGGGGCCGCAGCACTCAATCCGACACATGAAAAGGTGGTGGTGGGAGACTGCAGCGCAGGCAACACGGCACACAACAATTAGGTCTTCTCCCAACTGGCCAGCCACAGGAGTCAGTGAAGGCATGTATTACCAGAGCCTTAACTCTGCCTCCATTATGTAGTGTATCCACACACCACGACGCAGCAATGTTTATCTACAACAGACTACCGAGCAGTTTCAAATAGTGTTTTTAGCCTCTATTCTCAAGTGCCGCAGTAAGAGATTCCAATTACCCGGATGGTAAGGAGCCAGTGAGGGAGGCATAAAGTACATTAGGGATCCCCTGTAACTGCAGGGACCTTTTAGAGCCTCAACTGAAGAGGGCCGAGAGACTGGAGGGACAGTGACCCTGCATGGATAGCCTCTGTCAAAATTTGACCACGTCAAGCACAAAGGCATTATGGGAATCCAGTGTCACCAAGTCCTAATTACTGTCTGTGTTCAGAGCAAATTACTGCCTTGTTCCTCTGATTAGCGAGGAGGCTAATCTTCACCTGTGTACGCCAGCACTGCTGAGGGCCCTTGAGTGTTAGCGCTTCGTCTTCTGTAATTTATTTTTAAATCAGTGCCCGCTCCCAGGAGTTTTGAGTGTTTTGTTGTGAACCGCTTACCATGATCCCCACCACCACCCCCTCACCCCTAAATCCTTGACTAAATCCTTGTTTGGTGCCGCAGGAAGATAAGCAAGAACAACACTTGGGCATAATTGACTCGTACTCCTCTCCAAGATGTCAGAGCGGAATCGTCTCTCTGCATATTGCCTCGGCATGTCGTGGACTGCACACTTCTGCGTGTTGCAGATATAGAATCCAATCAAGTTCTAAAACAAAACCGGCGCAGCCCTCGCGCCGGAAAAACTTCCCGGGTCGACAGCAGGGGAAAAAAGAGAAACGAAAATAAAAATAAAAACTGCAGGAGTTGCTTTTAGCTGCGTCTTCACAGCGGAGGGTAACTCTCGCTCGGCTCCCGTCCTCACCCTGGAGGATCTGCTTTAGAAACCACAACATTTGCAGATTTTCATCCGAGTGAGCGGCAGTGTCTCGTCTGCGTGCGGCGGTTTACAGGTAGTGTGTTACACAGGTGTTGGTTTGCACAGGAAATGGCACATGCAGCCTGATTGGGACGGTCCCGAGAGATCAGGGCATAAACGTAGAGCACAGATGGGTCCAAGGGCCACTGGGAGCAGCACCTTAATGAATACGCAGCTGAGTACTACACTTCACAACATGCAAAACAATATTCTAAGGCTGCCGTAAAAAAAAAAATTGAGGAGAAAAAATAGAACAGAAATGATCTGAATATCATTACACAATGAATTATTCATACCATTTCTAAAGGGACTAAAAGTCTCCCCTCTGCTTTATTGATGATTTCATTCAATATCTCTGCAGACCACTGTTTGTATGACGCCGCATTTTAGTTACAAATGTAAGCAGTTTATATAGCACACAGCCATGTCTATATATCTAGCACAATAATCGTTTTAATTGATTTAAATGATGTGTCGGACTAAATACAAGAGAGCGAGAGAGAGAGAGAGTGAGGACAGAGAGGTGGAGAGGGGGAAAAAGAAATTATAGAGAAAAAAAAGTTGTTGATACGGTTCCCGGTGTGTGAGCACATCATGTAAACAGGCCCCAAACGGAACACATTTACCATAAAGCTATTCAGTGTGAACCAGGACATTGATTCACAACACTACACGAGTGTGAGAAAAACGATAAATGCATCACCTCAGATATTTCACACCAGCATTGGTAGTGTGTAAAAGCTGTTGTGACAGCTTGGGTATTAGGGCTCGATAGATGGAGAATGTCTGGCTGCTTATGAATGCCAATGTGACTGAGGTGACGGGTTCGACACAAAAACACTCCACCTCAGAACAATTAGGCTGTTCTCAGGCCCCATCCAGTGTTGTCAGTGATAATGGAAAGCTGTGAGGATAACTGGTGATAAATAGACTTTAACACCCTCCTCCTTAAGACCAATGCAGTCCTGCAGTCCTCTCATATGCTTAACTAATCATGAGCATGGCCGGCAAAATTCATACAAAAGACTAATTACTGTTGTACTTCACTTCAGTCTCAAAGGCCTCTTATATAAGGACTTGGGGGTTCTCTTGCCTCTTTTCTCCTCTTGATGGGTATTTTTTTACAAGTAGGCCTCGCGCTAGACAAAAGCGTTTAAAAATTGGTGATTGCTTTCATCCGCTTTAATTACATTCAGAAATGGCATTTCTGCCACATAATACACTCCTATTGTTTCAGAATTATCTGGCTTGGGGAGTAAAATCTACAACATTCGACGACGCCGCCGAGCTAAACCGCCTCTTTAAATTGAAATATGCAGCCGAAATGCAAAATAAAAAGCAAGCCTTTGCTGCTGATATACTGGAAGCTCCTTGGCTTTCTGCAGGATTCTATTATTATGCATATCCAGGTAGAAAGTTAATTAACCCAAAGCTTAAGCTAATTATGGTAGCAGAATGCTATCAACCAAACGCTTTCAGTCAGACAGCTGTCCAGAATTCCATTTGCTAATCATTTGTCTTTTGCAGCAGCATATGGTGCGTTTCCCCACTATCACAGAAACAACAAACAGATGAAAATCATTATTTAAAAACAATGTGCAATGTGAAAAAAATCAGACACAGATTTATACGGCTTTGTGTCAGAGAAAAAAAAAGAGGGGGATTTATGGCCTGGGAAATATAATGATAATTTTTGGTTTTAGCCACTTAGGATTTTAGGCAGATCACGTGACTCATGTGTGCTGGGAATTCAGATGCACAAATATATTGTTTATATCTATATGCAAATGAGACTGAGAATAAGAATGTTTATCCGTGTAAAATTAATTAGAATTTTCTATAGTAGCATATGCAAAGAGCTTGTTCTTAACAATTCTTAGCTTCTAGCACATTTTGTGCCCGTTTTTCTATTTTTTTATGTCGTTAAAAGTAGAAATCCCTCGGCTCAGAATTAAATCAATTATTTTCCAAGAAATGCTTCATGCATTATTTTTTTTCTTCTTCTTTTCATAAAAAACATCATACCGGCTGTTAAAGGGTGATTGATATCAGCATTGCCTTGCGACATTATCAGGCAATAAAGGCTACTCGGGTTCTAATGCAACATGTCATACACAGCCTCCTGTAGTACATTTCTATTGAGGACCTCACAAGCTAAATTGCTTTTTCCCTGCTCCCCCACATCTCAGCCAGCTTGACAGACAAATTGATCAAAGCATTGTAAAATAATATGCTCACAAAATGTCTCGGGGCAGGAGTCCAGCCCTTTTTTTTTCATTTTTCACCCTAATAAAAAAGTACTCTACGATTTCCTCTGTATTATGTGTCTGTGCTCTGTGTGAAAGAGGCAGGACGCGTCATATTTCAGATAATAGTAATCTCCTGTAAACAAAATGCGTATCATTTTTCTGCGAACGCCGAGGCCATGCTAAGAACTAAAAAAAAAAAAAAAGGGGGAAAAGCTGGTTAACAGGGAGGCTGGTGCGTAGGGCCCCAACAGGGGTTGTTGAGATGTAATGAATTTGTTCATCTGATGGTGCCTTCAGGGCTGTCGTTAGACTGGCAGAGGAGGTTGATTTTAGGAAATGTTCCTAAGATCAGTTAGGAAGCAAAAAGGGCTTGAGACGTTTCTATTAGAGAGAGATGACGGTCACGGCGTGTGAGCAATACTTCAAGGGCGTTTATGTAGCTATAATGGCATTTATCAATAGCTATCTATCAATGCCACGCATAGTTTTGTTGCTGCACCGGCTGTTCGACACCAACCGGTATGGTGAATTATTTTTTTTTTAAAATAGGCAAACTGAGTTGCATAAGCCTGCGAAGCTGCAACTCGCTCTCACAAATACACTGCTGTAGGTTTTACTTTCTGTTATGCATGGACGTTATCCATTTCCCTTATCCAAAATATGCTCTTAGAGATCATTTATCACCCTGACTTCCTAAGCCTGTACCACACCACATCCAAAGCTGCAGAGAGCCTTGTTTAGTATGTCATAAATAAATCAATGGAAATGCCTGATTTGAACTATTACTGCTACACGCAGGCTTTTGTGAGATCTACATGTAAAGCCGCTTGCAAAGATAAGCCTATATTTTGTCACTTTATCTCGCCTCCCTTAATGCCTGTTTACATTCTGTACCACCGTGTATATCTGAGGTGGCTCTAGTTCCCCCCCGTATGACAATAACGCCGCGTTCAACTGGTCGAGATAAAATCGAAACATTTAGCGCGTCCGTTTCCTCGCTCGCACCTTTGAGGACGTGGCGACGGCGCTGCGATCGCAGCGTCACTTATGACCGACATAGCAAATGATATTAAACTGAGGAATGATCTAGTGATGCGAATCATTAAATTCATTTGCATATTCCTACTGAACCTGAACACACAAATTAAACCCCGTTCACAAGGAGACGGAAAAAGGTGCTTGCGCATGGTTACAGGACATCTTCCATAATCAAAATTCCATATTATTAATTTTCTCACTTCAACTCATTAACAACAAGTGGAATGTTTTTACTGCTTGATGAATTTTAGGAAATAGCAGACAGTCGAGAAGGAAACACGTGTTGAGGTATAATATACAAGGTCATTAATGGGTTTCCATAAATTAGAATTTGAACATACATTTTCAAACGGATAACTTCCTATCCGGGTGCATTTGGATTGCATTTAATTTCCTAAACCATTCAAGTTTATCAAATGCGAATCTGCGATACATGGATATTTAATTTCAATCTAATCAAAAGTAATCCATGATGTAGGATGTGGACCTGTAAAATTCAGAAATAAGTACTTATTAACTCAGAGTTTAATCAGTTTCTATCGCTCCAGTAAGACCGGCAACATTCTCACAATTTTGAGGGATGGGTGGGGCATGAAATGCAATCACATATTACATTTCTGAGTGCCGGTTGACACTCGGTCGAACTACCGCATACAACTTGGAGGGAACATAAATAAACAGGAGCCAACAGTCCGTGCTCCCAGTGGCCTTTGCTGACCCTACAGACATCCGCTGTAATCGATTCCCTTGTGGGTAATAAAGAAGTTATTTTTCTGGAAATTTCAAATATACTGCAGGAAGAATCACAACCACATGCCATCAGAAATCTAATTTCCCGCCCAACTGTATTCTAGTGCCCCTCATATTTCTAGTGCCTGCTCATATTTGCCCAACTTTCTCCAGGATATTTCTTGTGGGATCTACAAAAATGCCCTGCTTCCAATGAGGAATGGTGGCACTCCATCACACGAGTGGATTCTGTCCGCCTGTAAATTTCACACCTTTGTTTATCACGTCAGCAGGCCGGCTGTTGTACAGTACCTTTCAGCAGGTGCGACATCCATTAGGATCTGGATGGTGTGCACACCATTCTCACATCCACTGACTTGGATGGTCCCCAGGGGGCTCCGCAATGAGATGGTCTTCTGAGTGCAGCCGCTCTCCTTCTGCTTCTTCATCCCGCTGCCCTGCTAAGGAAGCACAAATTACACTCCGTTCATTGACATATTCATGTGGCAACTTTCACAATTTCCCACACACATTTGCATTGAATGATCTATCGAAAACCTAGCAGGCCACCAACGGGTGATGACTTACATGTTTGAACACCTAGCCTCCAAACAATGTCATGATGCGACTTGATCCCAACATTACTATACGATATTTCTTTTGTGCATGGAAACGAATACGCCTATCTAACCAATAAATTGCCCATTTTTTACCCTCTTTCTGTTCTATATATCACATAAATGAGAAAAACAATGCAGTCTGTTCCCTTGTCTGGTGGGGGATTCCCAAGATAGCTCGACATTATTTTCAATCCGTCATTTTTGGTTGATGGTCGGGATGTTTTTCTAGCATTAAATTTGTTCCTCAGGGTGCAACTCCGATGGGATTCTGGTTTCCAGCCCTTAACAACAGCAAAAACGTGCAGCTTTTCTGACGACTGAGATGGATACTGGCAATAACCAGACAGCAGTTCCTTTTTTATTTTTACTTTGAGGGAAGGAGAGATGATTGACTATGTTATATGTGAGTTTTTGAGAGATGGGGGTTATAATAAATAAAGGTCACATTGATTGCAAGTTTCAAGTGAGGAAACCTTGATCTTAAAAAGTGTCTAAAGGGTACAACAATATCTCTCTTTTTGTCTTTTTCATTTTTAGAACCGTATGTTATTCACGTTCATATTTTTCCACTTCTTTGTTTGCTATGTGTTATGCAGCAACCGATGATTATTTTTATTATCTGTCATCCTTGTGATTACTTTCTCAATTAATAAATACATTGTTTATTCTATAAGAGAGAAACATTTCAATCACAGGCTTCCAAAGAGCAAGGTGACGATTTTTAAATGTGTTGTTTTGTCGGTCCAGCTGTCCAAGATCAAAGTAGTATAATATTTACAAATTAATAAACATTAAAAAGGTAGCGGCTGTGAATACAGTTTCAAAAAGGTAGTGCTAACTCCATGTGGTATTTTAGACTAATTACTTAGCAACAAAAAGCTAGCCAGCCAAAATAATTATCTGATTAATCAGAATCTGGCAACTATTCTCCCCACAATCAACTTTTTATATGTATTTATTCTAATAAAATGCCTCACAAATGTGAGAACTTGTTGTTTCCTTTGTCTTGAGAGATGGCAAAGGGTTCGCAGCTGTTGAGACAACGACAAGCGCCACCTTGAGCTCCATCAAATTGTCTCATTTCAAACTTTTCTCCAATATTTGATGCAGCAACTTGCAGGTTTTAAAACAATCTTAGTTGCAGACCTCAACACACAATGCATTGTTAAGAAAACTGCACTGCTCAAAGCAGCCTGTACTTTTAATTTCAAGAATAGATACGGGAGTACATTATTTTTAGATTAAGCACAGGTGATGTGATAAAAAGTATTCATGCATTTACAGTGTTTCATTTACTTTGTTGCCCCCCTCCCCTCCCTTCCCTCCGTGCGCAACCCACCGCCACATCTGTCATGGTGCGCGATCACAAATGCGTCTGCTTCAACTTTCTTGTTTTCTACTCGTGCAGCTCTCACTGTATTCATCGGGGGTTTGCCTGAACTGACAATAAAGCCGAGATTTTTTTCTTTCTTTCTTTTCCTCGCAGCCAAACAATGGTACAGTGCACTTTGGATAAACACACTGGCTGCCATTTAGCAGGCTGGTAATAGACTCGCGGATAGAATAATGGACCCGGGCAAATAACGGCCTCGGCTAATAGTCCGGGCTGATTGCAAAAATAGCGCCATCGCGTTTTGTGGCGCTGTTCGGTGCACTGGGTGTAAAGTGACTTAACTGGAATGTTAGGGGTGTTTACCCGGCTCTTCGCGGCGAGGAACAACAGGCAATAAGCAGCTTGTGTTGTTGGAAAGAAGAAGAAAAAAAGGCCTCCTCGCGCTCGTCCATCATTTCATTCGTTTGTCATCACACCGGCTCCCCGGTCGGGACTTAATTGAGTAGAAAAGCGCTGCGTGGGGGCTCAAACGCAACACGTGCGCTTATTGTGCGCAATTTAAATCTAAAGCGAAGCTAATTTCCGAAACGTCGGCAAAAGCCTGACGCAATTCTCTGAGCGAAAGTGTTTTAAAAGTTGCGCACGTTAAAAATGTGTGAAACGGGACGGGGGGCTCGTAACTTAAGGCGCGGAATTAGTCAAATAGCAAGAGGGTGTACGGTTTACATTTGAACTGAGGAACATGTCAGCTTTTGTAAAACTAATGTTGACACTGTAAATTAACTCAGTAGCTCACAATGAAGCCTTTTTGTATCCGTGCCGCGCTGGAGTCTGCTTCCGTTCCATCCGCAACAGGAAAGTGTCTTCCTGTTTCTCTCCGGACTGCGTGACCAAGTCAGCCAATCACAGGGGGCGAAAGTCAAACGTCGCTCCGTAATTGGTCGTCATAAAGCCTCCGCCCCGCCTCCTTGCTGAAGGACAGACACAGAGGGCTTGTCTTTTAGGTCTCATGTTGGGATTCGGGGTCCTTCGGGGGCCTCGGTACACAGAGGACTAGTAATATTAGTGATTTAGATATTTGATTTGTTTGATATATTTACTGCAGAGGAAGCAGATAATTTTTGAACATTAGTGTCAAACACTATAATCTCTCCACTTAAAGCTGAGACATTTATCTAATAATTTATCCCCAGTGACTTTGAGGTATTCAGGGTCCCAAGCATGACGTCTGTGGGTTAAAAAAACACCTATGTGATGCTGTCGACCAATAACATTTGGTAAACTGACTAATAAGCTCACTGTGTTATTGTGAAGAACACATGGGGCAGCGTTCTTTTATCACAGTTTTAATGCGGTTTTAAGTTGCCTTATGTTGCCTAGAGCATAGATTTCAGTCATTACGACCAAGTGTGTGCTATCAGTCATGTATTGTTCAAAAGTGTCTGTTGTCCTCTGCAGCTTTGTTTTACAGATTTTTTTTTCTTCTGTGGTGCCTTCAGCTCTCTGCATGCCTCCGTTTGGAATGTGTAGGCCGGTGTGGGCCTGTGGCCCACACCCCATCTCAGCGGTGAGGGTGGGAGCGAGGGGGGGGGAAAAAAACGCCACCCCTGCAGAGACCATTTTGAAATCTGTGAGGATTTCCGTGCCATCTGGACCCGCTGCCAGTCTGCCCCAGATAGTAAGGGTTGGCAACGGTACCCGACGGTGCAATATGGCTCTCTCTTTAATGAACTACTAACTGTCCCCCGTTTTAATTGATGTGACATTTGAGCCATTTATCTCTGACATTTCAATGAAGGATGATTCTCAGCCTTGCCATTTACTTTTTGGTGCTATTTTCTAAGAGTCATTTGCATTTTTCTGCTCTAAACCGGCTTTTTGTCTCTCATTAGCTAATTAGAGAGAAACATGCACAATTAATAAAAATGAACATAACCTAGTTTGATACAGGCTTGATGAAGCGTAATCAGAAAATCACGGTTTTCTTAATGTTCATCGAAATTGGTGTGAAGGGCTACCTGTGGTAAAAGGTGACTTCGATATAGCCTTGTAACCTTTACCCACATACCAACATGTAGCCTACAGTGTGGGACAACTTATGTTCGCAGCATGGGGAGAATCAAGCTCAATTAATCAGCATATGATTGCAGTAAGCAGCCCCCTCTGCTGGATCTTCTGAGCCATACTGTTTGAAATCATTTTAATGCTGCATTCAGTGGCCAGACAATTATCATATGTGGCAGTCACAGTGGACGTTTCTGCATTTGCTTTAAATCATTTAATAGAAGAAAAATAACGTTTTAAAAGTGCAAATATAAAAACGTTTAAAGCCAACTTTTGCTTTTTGTCATCCTATATTTAGTGCATACTCATTTTAATTGCTGCTGCCACATGAAAGCTGTTTTGCACATTTTATATTTTGTTTGTACAGTCATGTGTATTTACTCTGAAACGTGCAAATTATTTATTTAAAAAAACAGGAAAAACGCAGCCATGGTGTGTTGAACCAAACAGCCTGAAGTGCGTGTGAGTGACATAACAACCTGGCATCCTAATGGCTCCGGCCTCAATTGTTTTCCATAATGAAACATATTTTTAATCTTTTTAAGATATCCTTTAAAAACACGGCTGCGCTGGTGACGACTGTTCCTTTGATTGTGCGCGGCATCATTGCCAAGGTGTGGTGCCCTGTCTGTGTTGGCAGCCTGGGCTGATATCTTTTGTTTGAGACTCAAAGAGCTCTTTTTCCTGTTCAGTTTCCCTCACTATTTTTGTTTGTGTGAGGTGTTGACGGACTTATACGTTGCACAGTTTCCTCTTAGTGTACAGCACCAGATGTTTGTGAGAATAACAACCGTAACCTTTTTTGTCAAAATGACACAAATTGTTTATTAGCGGTTTTGTCCATCCGGTAATGTGTGATTGTCACAGCTCAGTCACATACTGCCTGCGTGTGTCTCGCTCTCCTTTCCTGTGTTCGCAATCTCGCTCTCATGTTGGCGTGGGAGGAGTTGAAGTCATTTATGATATCAGATATTCTCGAGGAGAGCAGGAAAGTCCTGACAGACTGAACGACCGGCATCCTCTCACACGGCGGCATGTGTGTGTGTGTGTGTGTGAGTGTGCATTTTAATCAGGAGAAATGGCTCTCTGGGCCTCACATTGCACATCCAGGAGGTCCACCCCGGCGTACAGTAAGTGCAGTGTGTCTCTTCCTCTAAATCAAACCCCGAAGCAGGCGAGGGGGAATAAAAAAAAAAAAAAAGGCAACCAGTTGTTTTGTTCTTTTTACTTTGACACTTTGTTATTCCATTCCCCCTCAAAAGAATTAGCCCCATCGTCGCATGAGCCAGCCGCAATCACAAAGACGTGACAAAATGTCTCCGTACCCTCGAGTGCCCACTTATTTAGTGTGCCCGTGTGCCTCCGTCCCTCCGTCCCTGATATGATGTGGCTCCTCTATTTTACTGTTGACATAGTGCTATGAATGTCTGAGCACTTTGCAAATGAAGAGGCTTGAACTCCTGACAGGCTGTGTCGCCGGCGCCATGACACACTGGCCCGCACATGCTGTGCGGCATAATGATGACATTAGGATCCAGTGATAATATCAGGACGCACTTCAGATAAATGACTGATAAACCAGGGGTTGTGCCTCTCGTATTACACGCTTGACAGAGCAGCTAATCAGTGTCCAAGTGACTGCTATTACATAAATCATGAGGCCGACTTTGATGCATATTCCATCAGTGTTCCCTATTCATCACGTCATCTGGGGGGGGGGACTCTCTGGATGGCTGGCTGCCGGGCCAACACACATTTTAAGAGCACATTATGTTTTCATTAGAATTTGATATGATCCATTCCAGTGTTGATTTGATTTCACGCGCTCGGGTCATTTGATAGGAAACTAGCAGGGAGAGGGAGTGTATTGTTACAGTGTGCAAGCTGTTTAAAGGGGGGGTGTCGCTTTGCTCTCGCCGGCCACATTTCCTGTCAAGATGCTTGTTGATAAACATGATTGTTTCTAAATATAATAATCAGACTATTGAAATTGATCAAAATGAGCTTTCCGTTTTTTTATTTGATTAAATTGTTCTTTCTTAATTTACAGAACCGTCTTGAAATGAAAGGTTCCCGAAGCTGAGCGGGTGCATTGCTGTTTTATTTAGCAAAATAACATCAAACCTTCAGAGAGGAAGTTGGAAGGGAGATGTGGGGTGTTGAAGTGAGTCACCATGTATGTTTTATTCTCCAGTATTGGGGTCAGAGGATGTGAAGGTGGGGGTGTTAATTTAATCCCCATTCCTACCCAGAGCATGGCCACACTCTCTAAGGAGCTTTATCTCTGACAACTGTGTCAAATTAGAGAGGCCACGAGCCCCTCATAAAGAATATGTCTGTCAGACTACATTGTTCCTGGTCTCGGGAAAAAATACGGCCGAGAGAGACAAAAATAGAAGATAACACCTTAGTCCCACAGTCGGACTTGAACATGATGAAATAATTTCCAAGCCATGTGATCCTGTCACAGACACAAACCGCTAATAAAACTGACGTCCACGTATCATTCTCTTTCTCTGGCGCTTTGCTATTCATAGATTTCAATAAGCATTGTTCAATACACAAAGCCGACCCGCTCTGGTTATTATCATCCCACGTTTGTGCCGTGAAATTATTTGTTATCTTTTTTTTTTTCCCTAATAAAATGGGTGAACACACTTATTTAAAAAACTTTATTGGACAGGAATTCATTGTAATTCGACCTGACTGCGTGTAATTGATGGGAGTGTTACATTCCATTAGGCATGGTACGTAACTCTAGGTCAGTCCAGTCTGATAAGTGCCCATCATTTATCTCCCTGGTATCAGCGCTGTCCCACATTCAAACATGTAAAACAACTCTTAATGTCCTCCCCGGTCCCCTATGGGTGTTTCTCCCTGTTATCATCATTGCCTCTATTCTAGGGGGACTTCCTCTGGAGACAACATTTTCACAGACCTTTTGACCTAAACCATATTTTCCATTTGAATGGTCTGACTAGTGAATATTTACAAGCATGTTTAATGTATAATAGATCTCATCTGTGAGTATCAGGAGTCATTTTCTGCTCAGTCAGGTTCTAGCGTTGGCCTCGGCCCCTTGCTTGAGGTAATATTGACCCCTTTTAAAAACAAAATGACCTGTGCCTCATTTAGGCCAAGTAGTATTCATACATATTGTACAAGTCCTTAGGGCATACATGTTTATAACAAGGAAAGCTAGCGGTCTCGAATGTAAACATCTTAGCACTGTAATATTATTGTATCAGTAAAGTCCCAGAAGGTGGTAGATTTAATAATGTGGGTGGATTATATAAGAGAGAGAAATAAAGCAGTAATTTGAAATTGTTTGGGGACCTTTTGTGTCAATGGTTATGGAGGCTAAGGGACGATTCCATTCCCTTAGGCCACTGTTAAAAAGGCAATGACTTTTCTTGTACATGCACAGCATTTTGGAAATCTACATGCGTTACCAGCACCACAGGCTTTTATCATGTGATTAGTAATACATAATACATTTGTTCTATTATCAAGCATGGAGAGAAAAAAATGAATGAAGATGGCGAGAGGAAGAACACGTTGATGATGAATAACGTCCGCAGCAAACTGCTTGAATATACATTTAATAGTGAAACAGATCTCGGTTTGCTTCTCGGGTGCTTATACAACCACAGGGTTTTTAATCTCTTTCTTGCCGATGAAAGTCACAGTAATTGCTATATTTCCCTTTTTGTTTCAAGG